TTGCCCGGAAATTTATAGCTCCTATCCCCGTGGAACTGACGATAGAAGAGGTCTAAAGAACAAGATCCAATCACCAATTGAATCCTTGCACCTTTGTTATTTACGATCTAGCTTTGATTCTTTGATTTGTTTCATTCGCAAGAAGGATAAGTGCAGTGATAGGGATCGAGTATAAGGAGATGAAATTTGATTCACTTTTTGTTTACGACCACTACCAAGCGAATTTTGCGTTTCAATGAAGGATCACGGTTCCTCTCTGCTTTTATATCATTCATGGCAAAACTTATCCGACCGCTAATAATGTTGGATTCTCATTCAATGATGTATCCGTAGAAAAAAAGAGCAACATTCATGAAGACATTTGATATTGGTACTATTGTGACTCGACAACATTTGTGAGTACCATTCAAGGCTTTGGATGCCTAACAGTTAAACTTTCCCAGGGTCACTGTTTTTAAGTTGAACAGCGACAAATTGAGACTTCTAATCAAAGACCCAAGCAGCGGCGCATTTTGAATGTCGTTTGCATGCACTTCTGCTCCTCTATCAAATCTCGTGTTCCGAAAAGTATCATTTGTTCCAAAGAAGGAGCGTGCCGTTTGCCGATTATCACAACTCTATCATAAGAAGGAGGGAAGTCTGGCGTTAGCCGGGCGACCCGACTGGTACTGTACAAGTAACTAATACAATACTTTTTTGTTTCCCGCAAACACGCGAAGGAACACGAGAGCAAATGTTCTAGCACACTCCAATGTTATGAAGAAGCACGTAATGGACTGTATTTTGTCATCGGTGATGAAGTACCTCAGTGACCATACATGTAGAAAATGGGTGATTTCTATGCCTTACTTTTCTATTCACCTGAGGAATGCGACTTTCTAACTGAAGCGATATCAATAAACAATCGTGTTCGCAGGTCTTATCTAATGTAAAGTCACCATATTAATCGGGAAAATGTACTTTGAGACGCGGAACGTCAATCTTGATCTGAGATTTTAGAAGGAAGATTTTGGTTTTCCGTGAACGATGCATTCAAACAAATGTTTTTTCCAACTATCAGTCCATAACGTTGTTTCTCGTTGTATGAAATATGCTTGTCTTTGCTTTTTCAGACAAGCCAGAAGAAGCTCCCACATCTCAAACCAAAGAGGTTGGTTTCTATGCAACTTCCTCTCCTTGAAACTCTGGCAGGATCAATCAGGCGGTACGAGTTGTTACAGAAACAGCTACCACTTGCTCAAAGCCTTTCTGCGCCTTCTTTTTTTGGAGAAAACAACAAAGCGGAAATCCTGCAGGAACTCCTCAAGTATATGTGTAATGGTAGGTGTATCACTACAATTTTGTCTTTGTACAGTTCCCCTCTTCCTTCGTTTTTGCTATAACGTGCGATACTTTTGCTATCACCCCAGCAACTACAATTGACTTGTAATGACGTCAAAAAGCAGGAAAGAGATCTAAATTACGATCTTTATGGCCTGCTGACGTACATATGAGGTGCTCGACTCTTTCTCGAACAGTCTAAATTATGCTCGGTCCAATCAGTCTGAATGATTCTAAGGATCTCACATACAATCACACCAACTTATTTTCATAGGATAGTTCAAATTGACCTTTCTCACTATACGTTACGTTTGCGGGTGTCGGCGGGTGTGTCTTCCACCAACTTTAGTAAAACTGAGTACACATTTTGAGAGGTCATGCTGAACCTTGGAGAGCAGGGACATGATATGATAAGCAGAGCACACATGAGCTAAAAGGACCCCCATCTACGTAGGTGGCACATGCACAGAAATGGGACGAAAAAATTCTCGTTCTTAGATCAAAATAGATACTAGGAAATGATGGGCAAAGACAAGCTGTTGATCAGAAAATGAAGCGAATTTAATGCCAACGATTCTCCAAAGAGTGGTAATGCTACAGTTCGACCACAGCCTGTCTATCTGTTTGCCACGAAAATCGATATTACTCCATGAAACACCCAGAAGTCGAGCAATGTTCGGAATGGGGCATCGGCCAAGAGTATCAAAGAACATGTGAGTCCGCCTCCACGGTGCTTGTCCTGTGAATGACCGCCTCCCCGGTGGAACCGCCCACAAGGGCAGGACATGCACCGGGGTGGCGGTCGTTTGGCGCGGCCGTTCGCAGCCGCTTTGCTATCAAGGCACGCGGGCTTCAACTGACGTCCATACAACGCAATTTTTGTGTCGAACAACTCGTAAAATCGTTCAGCCTCCCGATTTTCTTGAGCTAGTGGCTAATTATGAGTACTCCCCACCTAAGTGCGACGCGATCCTAATTAAGATTGAAGATTGATTGATCATCAAACTTTTCAAACAACCTCATTAATTTAGTAGGAAAAGAGAAAATTGTAAAGAATAAATGGATAGCAAACAAGCCTAATTCGGGAAAAAATAAAACTATTAAGTTAGTGGCTTGAGTAGTTATTCTAATGCATATTTAAAGATGTGTTAGTGAAATATACATCTAAACTTTTCTATTGGAGGTAAACAATAATGTTCATAGTTCTCTAAAAATCCTGCTAGCATTAAACACACTGTTCTCGGAACAGAAGATTCCTACTCATAAGTTTGAGAGTCGAAAATAGGTAAATCTACTACAAAAACACTAGAAGTACAGAGATGTTTTAATTCATGTGTATATTTTCCGTCCTCCGTTCCGGTTGGGCATCAAAAAGGCCGCGCTGCAGGTGGTAAAAACAACACACGAAGGATTTCCCGTTTCTAAGTAAACGTCCCACAGAGTGCCAAAAACATCTCTCACAAAACCCGATAGATGCCTGTGAACGCTGACTCTTACCTTTGATCGAAAACACCGCTGCCAACGCTGTTACTTTCATTTCTTAAGTGCTTGTTTGTGTTGAGCGCTCGCCTGAAACCACCTTTGTAACTTCGTTTGGAGAACTGTTTGGCAAATTTGGAAAACAGTTCCGAAATCAGAAGCCACATGTTCATATAACACATAAGTCCCATCTGGAATGACCTCCTACGACTTGAGATCCCTGCTTCGTTAGATTCCACCACTGCTCGTTCTTATTCCGCCACCTTTGCACAAATCTCCATCATAATTTCAATTATCACTGAAATTAGGTAGCACAAAATTATCGTGAACTGTTTCTTAAGGCCGGCGGTTCGCTAAGGGGCTTCTATTGCTAGATTTACTATTTCGGGTAGTGGTAGGTCAGATTTTATTCTGCGTCGAAAGAATTAGAAAAATCTTTTCATCGAGGTGGCAAAATATTGGGTTGTAACATAAGTTCGTAGAGTTTTGCCTTAGAGTTATTTTACAACGACTTATTTTGTTTTTTAGCGAAGTGTGTACATCCATTTGAAGGAGCTTTTCTCCTCTACAAAACTGTTTTATTCGTTTTTAGGATAATTAANTTGTTCATTTTTTTTGGGCTCAGAAATGGAATATCCAGGAAGAGAAAAATTAGCATTTTCGACATCTGCTTTTCTTTGCTTCTCGTCGAGGTCAAAAAGGCAGCCGAAACCGCTCGGAACATTTGCAGTGTGTACGGGGAAGGTGTCTTAGGTGTGTCTACTGAAAGGTGTGGGTGGCCCCAGGAAAGGCGCCAAAGCCGAGAGTCAAGCAAGATCTCCACCCAAAAAAAGGTCATGATCTGCATTTGGTGGGACTGGGTAAGCATGGTGCACTGGGAAACTGCTCGAACGAAACGCTACTGTCAACGAGGAGGTCTTCATTACCCAGATGAACAGTGTAAATGAGGCTATTCGGCTGAAAGACCTTATAGATGAGGTCAAGTCATCTTGCTCCACGACAACACCAGGCTCCATATTGCTCAAGTCGTCAAAACAGCACTCCAAGAGCTTGATTGGGAGCACTCCACCACACTCTCTGGATCTTGCACCTGCCGACTATCACCTTTTCCGCTCTATGTTAAACCCAATGAGGGGTGTTACCTTCGATGGCGAAGGGGACCTTAAGAACTGGCTCAACAAATTCTTCGACACCACAACGGCCGATTTTCGGCGAATTGCCATCAACAAATTGGCCGAGAGATGGGAGGAGGTCGTGAACAGTAACAGAGGATACATCATTGGTTAGTTTATTATTATAATTATTGTTTTTTGGTTCAAATAAATCTTTGTGAAAAAAACTCTACGAACTTATGATACAACCCAATAGGTGGTTCTCGTCATGTGGAAAACTGTGAGGAGGGATTATTGGATCAAACTGAATTGAAACTTCGAGATTTCTGCTATGGCTATGTCCTGTGGCTTATAGACGACTTTATTAATCTTACCACTAGATCTGGCATAATGTCAGCAATCACTTATACTGTTCCTTCGATAAGAAACCTTTTTCTTTTTCCCATTTAGAGTTGTCTTGGCTTTGTGTTTATTTTTTCTCCTGGCAGTCGTGAAATTAAATGAATAACAACATTGTGCGAAAGGAGTCGAAAGAGGCGTTCTTTGAAAAAAGATATCTCATGATTGCTCCGTATGTATTTCAGTTCAAATCCTGTAAACCGTGTGTCGCAGAATTGGAAGAATTCCATCCCTGCTCATTCAACAACGATCCTAATCGATAGTCTTTTACAAAGAATAGCTGAATATTGCTTGACAATTGTGCGGACAAATGGGGCCTGTGAATCAATTAGAAATCTACTCCATGAATTGAATCAATGTACTCCCCAAACTTATACGACCCAATGGCCCGAAGTGACGCATCAACCTGTCTTTTCATGATGGTAGATGCAACTACAGGTACAAATGTATTGATGGCCTTGACCAGAATCATTCATTCTTTTTGCAGAGCCAGAAGAAGATGCAGTTGGCGTTGTGACTGATTTCTTATATTATTTGCTACGAGACGGGTGCCTTAAAACTCTTGTCACTACTTGCCTTGCATTACAGGGGCGACTGTATTCTTCGGAAGAGGTGTGTGTGTGTGTGTTTCGCTGCCCTCAGATTATTGTGAAGTCTCTAGTTTTTCAGGTTTGCTCGGCTGGTGATGGCTGGTTTTTTGCCCTCAACTTCATTTTTGAATCTATTGATGAAAGGTGTCGCGCTATGTACGGCGCCCCTCTGATACGACCAGCGCTTGAAAAATGTCAGCATTTCTGAGACCGAGGGTTGAATGTGACTTTTAGAAGCTGCTTAAAGGAGCCAGTAGTCGGTCACAAATACATACGAGTTGTTTCACTTCAGTAGTAATAACTTCATCTCGACTTGATTCGGATTTAACCTTTTGTGAGAATTTGGTTTAAATAAATTCTCATATTCGTCATTCATTTCTTCACATAAGCACGAAGTGTCGTCTTTCTCACACTGCCATGGCTGCTCCGCGTAACTTTTTTCCGGAATTTCAGATTGCTTTTGTATTCTGCCTTGAATTTTTTCATTATATGGGTGAACTTCTTACGCAGACAAAATGTAATGCAGCAAGTTCGATACCCAAAGGCACAGCTCACAGTGATTTTGGATAATCCAGATTATGACGAAAAATGGAAGTTAAGATCGAAAATAGTGCGATGAAGGTGGATTAACTGTGTTAATCGGTGTTTCCAAAAAGAAAAAAAGGCTTCGAAAAATCGTTAAAAAGGAGGTTGGACGAGAATGAGATCAGAAGAATGAAGAAGAGTGGGGCGTTTGGGCGAGCTACGCACAGTGGGTCATTGCGTACGCGTGGGTCCAGGTGCAAATAACTGACTACGATAAGCAAAAATTCATTCCCTCATAAGCATAATTAAACAAAAAACCCTAGTTACAGCGAAAATAGCTCCCTTCAGCCTCTTGGAGTAGGAAATTAAATAAGAGATCGCAGCAGCAAAAAGAATAACGAAAGAAGAAAAAAGAATAAAAGAATGGGAGAAAAACATCGCCTCATCACCCGGCGATCAGCTGATTGTGTGTGAGTCTTAGAACGGATTATAGCAATCTGTAGTGCCTCGACATTCGTCTGACGTAACATGGATCCAGAGGCGGAAAAGCCACTCAAGCCAGCAACAGGGCTTCCACTATGCCTTGACCGTCGAAATTTTGGGAGCGAGAGAGTCCCTTCTACCACCCATAGAGGCCACTGAGTGTTCCTAGGGAAGAACTCATTAACCATCTTCATCGTGAACCGTTCCTTTGAATGCAAGTGAAATGGTTGTGGGGTGGCCTACCAGTAAAGAATGTGAAATTAAGTCTGAACAAATTCCTTCTGGAATCGCTCGTCCTTGTTAGCATTACGTTCATTGGTACAGTTTGGACTCATCATCACCCATTAGTAGCTGTTTCTACATTCACCATGGTTGTTTACTAGGCCACAACATCGCGCTCATAACAACGGGCATCAGCAAGCGGAACGACTGCTGGCCGAATTCGCCACTTCTTGTGCGAACATCGGCCTAAAAGCATAGTTCACCATGAAAATAGTTTCTGGCATTACCATAGGGTGAATTCGGTACACCCTCGTGGCTGGCACTTTTAGGTCGGAAAACAGTCCTAGTTGTTAAGGCTAGAAGACTGTCGCGTGTGAATTCTCGGACGAATTTAACCGGCATTGTAGAGGCTGCCCCGATCACAAGAAAGGCCATGTACGAAGTTCAAACATCTTGTCATGACATATGGTAACAAGAAAGGCAGTTCTGTACAGTTTCGGCTTGATGCAGTCAGTTCCTTGCGCAATTGCAACAACTGTAATCTCGCCCGAATACCCTTTCTATGTTATTTCCGTCATGGTAATCTCGTCCAACCCCTATTTTCCTACTTTTGAGGAGCCATGTCCTTCTCTGAATTGGCGTTCTCTCGCTCTCTTCACTACCTATGAACTACTCTCAGCCTGTAGATCTGCTTTTCGAATAAAAAGTGGTACCTTGAAGCTATCGTGAACTGTGTCTTTAAGAGTGAAGTTGAGCGAGACGGAAAAACTTCATGAAAAACGGAGTGATTGGTTATGCTGCCTTTACGCTGAACGGAGCGAATATCTCTAAATGCTCAAGGTACGTGTGTCTAGGTGAAAAAGTCAACATCATGGACGACCTTGCTCCGGAGCCGAGCCAAAGGAAGCGCACCGCGTGGCAAGCGTTCAAGAATATCGCTGGAGTTGTGAAGAGAACAAAGGACATCCGCTAAGAAAGCGCATGCAGTCAACGTCGTACGCAAACGCGACGAACGCGCCGCGGGATGGACGATACTTGGAATTCCCCTTCACACGCAAGAGCAGAAGAGAATTCAAACCTCCGAGCTTTGTCAATGACAGGGGATCAGGTAAGACGCTGCCTACGCCAAGAAATCGATAAGCAGGTGGACCTGGCACGCACGATATTGTGATGATCTTGAGAACAGCGATTTCTGACTGGATCACTATAAACGCCAAACCAACACCAGCACGATGGTTAGACTTTTTTCACGAGAACTCTGAACTAAAGGAAGGCTATGCTTCGTGTTCCTCGAGCGAGTACAATGAACTGTACCTTCTCCGGCTCGCATCAGGGACGAATGAAGACGTTACTGCTGCCCGCTCAAGAAAACCGGTTATCGACGGGATGACAGTGATGCAGGTCACTGGGTAATATTCAAAGTAAAAGTTGCTCTGTCGAACCAGGTAGCATGGCATAGTCAGTCAAATATGTAGATATCTGAATGCAGTTACAGGGAATGCTCCCAACAATAAGTGGGATGAAGGAAATGACGAGATTGTAGCCCCCATGAAGTCCGTTATCAAAAGTTCCACGATAACATTAGGATCGCGAATTATAGCATGCGATCTCGAACTGCTTTGCTGGGGTGGTGGTGTTTTTGTAGCAAATTATTTCGGCTCTCATGCGGTCGGTGTCTTCAGACCCTACAAAGAAGTGTTGGGAGTGAGTTCAATTCTGATGAAACGTTACCTTATGTTTTCAAAAACTTTGTATTCAGCCGATACGTGCAATCTATGAAGGGGGGGGGGGCGAAATCGTGCGCAATAACTTTGTACAACCTTGAACCTCTCCTGTGCAACATGTCGTCCTGCTGGTCATCGAGCGAGCTCCATTAGCTTCTCACCGAGCCATTATAGCAGACGCCCGTCATTGTAGAACAAGCAGCTTTCAGACAGACAGCTGGCTTATGTGACGCGGATATTCCGCTGAATTCCAACGGCTAACACCCAACTGTCATCGGAGAAAACACCCGACACTCTCCAACTTAATCTTTGAGCCTTCATCATGTTAACAACAGACGTTTTTATCCACTCAGAGTCGAAAAAACTATCGTAGCATCTCTGAGAAGTTCGACTGATCGAATATGTTGGGTCATCATGACTTCTTTCAGAACCACATCGTCAGACAATGTCCGGAATTGCATAAATCCAGAAACTTGCGAAACGAATGAATCCGGGAACGAAGTCTCGTCCCAGTCCGAGTTACAATGCGAAGATATGATTACCCTTTGTAACGAGCAGTCAAGGGTGAGCAGGAATGGGTCTCTACAGGCTGTTGATTTTAGTGAAACAACATGGTCTTCGTCAAGTATCGTGCACCTACAGTGTCCTGATATGGTTGAACTTCAGAAAGATAAAGCCAATTTTGTAGTTGATGGGAAAGCAAATTCATGTGAAGAAGCTAACTTTAATTCCCATAGCCCTCCTTGATTCCTCTACCAATTACTGTTTATATACAGTTGAAACAGGCTGGAGGCTTGGAGAATGGTAGATAGCTATTACGGTATTTAGAAAGTTTCTGCCGGAATTCACAAGAATCCAGGTTTCTTCTGGTAAATTATAGAAGTCCCAAAAGAAATACTACTCAAGGGGACGAGACTGATTCTAAAGCCTCATGAATATTTTATATAGTAACTCGAAATACACTCGAGCTCCCCCGAACTTCCGTAACATATTCGACGCATCGAAAAGGCACCTTGGGCGAGGCCCGGGATGGGTGGCTGAGCATTGAGTGTTTCTGTATCCCACGTCCATCGTACTTCAGAATCTGACTCGTTCAAGGGACTAATGTTTTGTACAACACATCGAGATGCTGTTATGCTGCTTCAGTCAAAGAAATGTAGTTTTTTCACTAAGCTTAAGTAGGAACATGTGGGTGGATGAAATGATTATCTCGTCCGAAAGAAAGAAAAAAAGAAAGAAATTGTTCACCGCGGTGCTTCTTCCCCCTTAAAGCGTGGTTGAAAACTGGCATGTCATCGAAACACGGCATGACACGTTCCATTGAGTTCATTCCTTGCTAGACTGACATCGTGATAGGTGCCCCCCCCCCAACCACATTTTCACCCACCCGGAAATTTCGCGATAGAGGCCGGATTCGACGTCGCAAAGAAGTACATGTCGAAAGTGAGTAGACAGTTTGCTCATTATATGGTCCAATAAGCAAGGGTCAGATAGCCGGATTTGATGTACAAAAGTGTAGTATCCTCATACTGCAATTACATGTAGGTTTTTACCGCGAAATTTTCGACAGTTGCTCTCCAAGCGGTCTAATATACCACCAGTAGAACGCAGAGAAAACAGGAAAGTTTGTTTCTCTTAAAAAAAGTTTCTGACTGCTAACAACCAATGGCAACAACAACAAAAACCAACTCAGGTTATCAATCTTGAAGCAATGCTTCTTCAAAAAATGGTGGAGTGCAAATGCCCCCGTAGGATGTCCAATCTGATGGAATTATTTGAAAGAGTTGACAACGTGGTCACATCATTAAAAGCCAAGATTCAAGCTCATCAATGCCGTCGGAGTCGAGGTAAAGGACTTCTTATCGCATGAATCCAAATTCTTAATTTGGTGATTGTGAGCTTCGGACTCCGGCTAAGTTTTTAACTATAAGTCTGCCAATCTGAATCCCATTCTTTTGCCTCTGTGACTGGGTCGCAAATTCCATTTGTTAGCGTTTACAGAAGACAGCCTCATTTGCTATCCGTGTTTTCGCACCGACCCTTCTAGAGCATCCTTCGTTGCTATAGCATACTCTTGTCGGATGAGCACCCTTACCAATAAACATGTTTCATGCTACTTGGACGGTCGTTGTCGGCTGGTAATCCTCAGCGGCGAGCCCACGCTTCTCTCCATTTTTGAAGATCTTGAGCGGTTTGGCACCAGTGTTGGCCAACATTTCCCTGAAATTTCTTTAGTGAGTCACTTCATCTCACCGCAAAACGGCCAAGTGCGCGCTTAACCTCACGTGGGTACCAGAAGTACCAGAATGTAGCGCATGTGGTCTACCGACCGTCCGTGCGTCTGACCACGTCCTCCCCATCGTTTCTTTTCGTTCTACGCATATAGTTCAGCGTCACGAATGGCGGACATTGAACGCATGTCATCGCTGCGGAGGTTGAGACTTCTCTGCACTGCACGGTTGATCTTCAGCAACGTCTGCTCAAACGCTCTTTTGCGCTTATTCTCCGCCCACGTCTCGATGCGTAACGGGGTGCGGGCAATACCGCATAGAGAAAAGGTTAGCTCGTATTTTCTTGTCCTATACGAGTTTAGCCGCTTCTTTGATTTTTCTGTTGCCGCCCACACGCATCTTCTGCGCCTCATAATCTCTGCACGCAAATTGTTGTCTATGGAGATGAGTCGGCCGAGGTATACCTAGGAGTCGGTGAAAGTTAGCGTGGCTCCTTTGAGTGTGATGGGAGACGCATCCGCCCATTCGTTTCCTGCCTCTGTTCATAGTGAGGTCAATGGCTTTGCTAACATCGTCCAACACCACCATCTGCTGCAGCTCCTCTCGGCTTTCGCTGATGAGGACGATAACGTCTGCGAAACGCAAGCTGGATAATTCCTTGCCGTCGAGGTTGATGCTCTTGTCGTCCCAGGTCAGTTGTAGCATCGCGTGTTTGAGTGCGGTGGTGAATAGTTTAGGAGATATGCGTCACTCTGGCTGACTCCTTTTTCAGTCGTCACGCGCAGCTCTCGCTGGATCATGTGGATGGTGGTAAATGTGTCTGTATTGCATTGTTCCAGCAGGTTGATGTAGCATGGGTCGACTCCTGTATGGTTTAATGCGTTCCAGACAGAGTTGAGCTCCACACTGTCTTCGCATAGTCGATAAAGCAAAGAAGGAGTAATTGTTTGTTCTCCTAGGTCCGCTCTATCAGCTGCGTGATAGCGTGGATATGAACAGTACAATAAAAGCCCTTGCGAAACCGACTGGTTGGTAGTCGCTCAGTTGCCTCTCGAGTCTGTTTAGAATAATCTTAGTACACAGCTTGTACGGCTGCTAGATAAGCGCTATGTGACGGCGCCACTTCCATGGTACTTGTGTCATACTGCAGTAGTCGTATAGGAGTAGACCAGAAGTGACCTTCGCTCGTAGGCGGAATTCGGCTCTGACAAGCCTATGGTCGCTTCCGGTGCCGAACGTATCTACCACACCTCTAACAGACTCAACTTTCTCTTACCGGGGAGGGGTAGTCTACTCACCGTGGGACTTTGAATGGGGACTCGGATAAATCGATAGAGTTTTGAATGCTATTTACGAAAATGAAAATTAAAATTGCTGAATGGTTCTCCTTAAAAAGTTATGGAGGCTGGAAATTTGCTTGATAGTAGTATTATTTGGATATGCGAACTCGTCGCTTCGGTATTAAGTGCCGACGTGGCATAGTGGTAGTGGTCCCGTATCATAGGCGTACAATGAGGGTTTGCTCCCCGTCGGCGTTTTTGCAAAATGTTCTTTCATTTCATTAAAGACTCCCTGAACATTTTCTGAACATTTTTGTTTAGGTGAAAGGCTTATTTCTGCTTTCATTTTCACTCGTCACCCCTGTCCAGGGAAAGTGGTTCTGCACGTCAAT